CGTTGCAGACAAGTTTAAAGGAAAGCGACTAAACAATATTGTGAAACTAAATGGCATCTGTAACGACTCTATCTATAGTACAATGCAAATCCTTTCTAATATAAATATTGAACAGTATTGCGTAGAAACTTTATTGCATGTTGTAATGGACAAATACCTAAATTACGATGTTTTGATTGGTCTCGAAATATTAAGCCAGGGCTTTAGTGTAGCAATAGACGCTGAAAAATTTAGTATTTACAAAACTAAAAGAGTGAATGTCGTAAATTTTGCCAATTATAAAAACCTTGTAGATTCCGATGGCGACTGGAATATTCTGGAACGTTATTCTGATTGGTTTATAGAGGGAATACCAAAGACTCGGGTAACAACAGGGCACTTGGAAATTAGGTTAATAGATCTACAAAAGACAGTGCAGCGCCGGCCATATAGACTTAGCGAAGATGAGAAAGTGCATGTACGTTCTAAAATCGATGAGCTCCTTAAATCTAATATTATTCGTCCCAGTTGTTCACCTTTCGCTAGTCCTATGATGCTCGTTAAAAAAAAAATGGCAGTGATCGTCTTTGTGTAGATTACCGTGCTTTGAATGAGAACACAGTCTCAGACAAGTATCCTTTGCCTTTGATTTCTGATCAGATTGCTAGGCTACGTGGGGCAAGTTATTTCTCATGTCTCGATATGGCCAGCGGCTTCTACCAAATACCGGTACAAACAGATTCAATTGAGCGCACCGCTTTTGTCACCCCCGAGGGTCAATATGAATTTTTGACTATGCCGTTTGGTTTAAAAAACGCTCCGTCCGTGTTTCAGCGCGCTATTATTGCAGCATTGGGAAGTCTTGCTTACACTTACGCCATCGTTTACATCGATGATGTTTTGATTGTGGCCGAAACTAAGGATGAAGCCTTAGATCGATTGGAGATTGTACTAGAAACTTTGAGCAAGGCTGGGTTTTCATTCAATGTAACTAAGTGTTCCTTTCTTAAAACTAGGATAGAATATCTATGGTTTGAAGTGAGCAAAGGACAGATTCGCCCTAATCCACGCAAAATTCAAGCGCTGACAGAATTGCCACCCCCAAAAACGGTTACGCAATTAAGACAATTTATAGGGCTAGCATCTTACTTTCGGCAGTTTGTGCCAAAATTTTCTGAGACTTTAAAAACACTGTATTCGCTCACTTCAAAGAAAAATTCAGATTTCGTTTGGCTGTTAGAGCATGAAAGAATTCGCTCGAAAATAATATCCGTTTTAACCCAGGAGCCTGTGCTAACCATATTCGACCCTCAACATTCGATTGAACTTCATACAGATGCCAGCGCAATTGGCTATGGTGCCATTTTGCTTCATAGAATCGACAAAAAGCCTCATGTTGTTGAATATTTTAGTAAATTCACGTCACCTGCTGAATCGAAATACCACACATAGGAGCTTGAGACTTTGGCAGTCGTCAATGCCATTAAACATTTTGGTCATTATTTACAGGGGCGTAAATTTGTTGTATTTACTGATTGCAATTCGGTAAAAGCTAGTCGAACAAAATCGTATTTTTCACCAAGGGTGCATCGATGGTGGGCTTTTCTACAGTCGTTTGATTTTGACATTCAGTACACGAAAGGAGAAAGAATGGCACACGTAGATTTTTTATCAAGGAATCCGATGATTAAAGAATGCAAGAGCATAGAGAAAATTGTTGAAAAGCGAATTGAATTGACTGAGGTAACTGACAATTGGATAGTTTCTGAGCAACAGCGGGACCCTGAAATAGCTGATTTATTAGCTAAGCTTAAAAATAACGAATTGCCGGAAAATTTAGATAAAACTTATGAATTGAGAAAAGGCGTTTTATATCGAAAAATACAAAGGAACGGCAAAAACAAGTGTTTACCTGTAATACCTAGGGCATTTAGATGGGCAGTGATTAATCACGTCCACGAATCTATTATGCATTTAGGTTGGGAAAAAACCTTGGATAAGGTATATGGGTTTTATTGGTTTGAAAATATGTCGAAGTACGTTCGAAGGTTTGTCGAAAACTGCATTACCTGTAAACTAGCCAAGCCACCGGTTGGGAAAATTCAGGTGGAATTACATCCGATTAAGAAGGTCGAAATTCCGTGGCACACAGTGCACATTGATATTACTGCAAAGTTGAGTGGAAAGAACGACCTAAAGGAGTATGTAATTGTTTTGGTGGATGCGTTCACAAAATTTGTTTATTTTCATCATATCTTAAATATTGACACAGAAAGTTCTATTAAAGCCCTTAAAGCCGTCGTGTGTTTGTTTGGTGTGGCTACTCGAATTATAGCGGATCAGGGCCGTAACTTTGCCAGCTCAGGATTTCGTGATTTTTGTTCTTCCCAAAAAAATTGAGCTTCACTTAATTGCAACGGGCGCGAGTAGGGCAAATGGCCAGGTTGAACGTATTATGAGCACACTTAAAAGTATGTTGACCGCTGTCGAAACAAGTCAGAGATCGTGGCAAGATGCATTGGCCGAAGTACAGTTGGCAATGAATTCCACAGCTAATCGAGTCACCAAGGTCAGCCCATAAGAAATGCTTATCGGTAGGGAAGCTAGACCTTTCGGCCTATTGCCAATAGGTGAAGAAGAGGATAATTTAATTAATAGAGAATCCGTAAGAAAACAAGCTAAGGAGAATATGGAAGTTAATGCTCGTTACGACAAACGTAGATTTGATAAGAACAAAGCAAAAATAATTAAATTTAACGTTGGAGACCATGTATTGTTGAGAAAGGAAGAGCGACACCAGACAAAACTTGACCCAAAACATAAAGGTCCGTTTGAAATCATTGAGTTACTAGATGAGTAAGAGAACATATAAGTATGCGCATGAATTTTTGAGAGCATTGCCGAATAGACAAATATGTGAAGAAGTTGATGAAGAATTCGACGACTCAAAAGGAGCTGAGTCTGATTCCCAAGTGGGAAATGAAGATATGGATGGCACTGTAGGTGCTTTGGAATCCCAAGAGGGGATTTAATGACCGCACAATAACAGATGGACATGTTATGGCGGGGGTCAGTGGTGACCGCACCATAGCAGAAGGACTTGCTATGGCGGGGGTCGGTAATTTGGTGTGAATGAAAATGCACAAGTTGATAAAGTTCATAAGTTAGTATGAATTGTTAAATATGGTTAAGAAATAAAAGTAATGTAAAGAATGTTATCAAGAAACTACACTAATGTTATTGTAATGTGTTAAAGGAACTACACAAATGTTAAAAAGTGTTAAAGGAACTACACTAATGTTATATAGTAAGATGTGTTAAAGGAATTACACAATTGTTAAAATGTGCCAAAGGAAATGCACTAATGTTTTATTTTACAAAAAGAGAATAATGTTATTAAAGAATAACTAAATGAATTAATGAGATTATGTTTAATTGAAGAAATGTTAATGAAATGTTTTAAAGAATAAAAATGAATAACAACTGACGTGTGAACATGGAGTGATTTAATGATAGCACACGAGGACGTGTGATTTGTCAGGAAGGCCGTGTCGGAGAGCTGGTACATGTTCTCTGTAGGTCAGTGTGTGTTCGCTTAAGTGCATTTCCTAGAACGTCATTAAAAGTAGGCGACGCATAGGCGGGACATATTTTGGAACTTTGGATTGTAAATGCGCAGTTAAAGGGAAAGAAGCATAGTAGCGGAAATTGAGTGTCTGCTACTGAGTGAGGTCTGATCGTATGTCGCGAACTGAGTGAGAACAGAGGCAGGAGCAAAGAAGGAATTGGTAAAATTGAGCTCTGCGTTCTCGGAGGTCAGTTCGATTTGCGGCATAGACACGAGCAGAACTTGCTGTGCTTAGGAAATTAAATAAAAATGAATCCGTCACCAAACGAGCCCCCGATATATATATATTCTTGATCAGCATCACCAGGAGAGTCGATCTAGCCATGTCCGTCTGCCCGTCCGTCTGTCCGTCCGTCCGTCCGTTTCTACGCAAACTAGTCCCTCAGTTTTAAGGCTATCTGCTTGAAACTTTCCTAAAAGTTGTATTTCTATTGCAGGTAGTATATAAGTCGGGAGGGGCCGGATCGGGCTACTATATGATATAGCTGTCATATAACTGAACGATCGGAAAAGCCATAACTTTGGTGTTTGTAAAGTTAGGAAGTTGGGATTTTCTATGGGTTTTATTTTTATCCAATCAATCCCGCCTACCAAACTTCATAAGGATCAGCCAACTATATCCTATATATCATATGAATAATTTTGGAGAATATAATTTACAGAGTATTCTGCAAGGGTATATCAACTTCGGCTCCGCCCGAAATTAGCTTTCCTTTCTTGTTTTGTGAATAATACTAATGCTAAGCTAATGCCTACTATAACAATGTTACAAAAAAATTGAAAAAATCTTGTTTTTGTTTAAAACTTTTAGATTAAAAAATGAAATTTCTACGACAAACAATTACTTGATAAACTGTAAGTCGGAAATTCTGGAATAATTCAATAAAAATAAATAATCAGTATATATTCGTTTTTAAGAATTTTTTATTTTGAAGGATATTTCGCGCTTTCAGCACAGCACAGCACAGATTCAGTACATTTTCTTCTTTGATTATTTGATTTTTCAAACCTCTGCTTAAAAATTCATTCAATTTTTGTCATAACAATATTAAACACTTAAAGTTATTTTAGACCAGGAAAATTTGAAAAAATGTCGGACCATGTAGGTCACCTTTTTTGATTAACCACACCCCAATTTTTGTCGATTGTATTGCTAATAGTCTACTTAATCATGTTAGTAACTTTTATGTATTGACATTTATTTCAACAGGTTTTTAAGTCCACAAATCCCATGTATGGCAAAGCTAAAAAATAGATTTCTTATTTAGCCAATAAATAATGAACTTTGATTCATGTTTTAGTGTACGTAAATATTCTCTTTTCAATATATATAAGTATATATAATTGTACTGCATTTATTCCATTAATGAATATTAATTCTCATTAAACTTACCTTTGTGCGTCGTAGCTATCCTATGTTCTGTTAAATTCGGAATGTTTTTAATAGCGCATTATAAACGTTTCCATAATGTTCGTCGTCCATAATAATCAACACGGAAGTGCATTAAGTGCTCTGTTAGTACTTATCGATTTTTCCATCCGTTGAGGCTGCTATAACTTTTCGCGCATGATTTCTAGCATTTGGCAAATATTTGGTCATAAAAATATTTAGTCTATCTTTAAACTCAAACCATTGTTAAAAGAAAATTTATCAAGCCCTAGATTAGCTATTAGGATATAAATGGATTTATGTTACTAAATTTTCATAGATTAAAGAGTTTAGAACTAATAATTCTATTACTTATAACAACACAAAAATAACTTTAAAAATACTGAAAGCTTTTGAAATCATTGGCTGCTATATGAGACTCAGAAAGCTTTCTTTTCTTTAATCAAAACTTGAGGGGTCCCAAAATTTTGTTTGTTGTAATTTGGTAACGAAAACAACAAAAATATTAAAAATTCATACATCCCTGCATTTCTGGCAGTCATGGCGTGAAAAGTGTCATATTATAAATGCTTGGGTGTCGACGACACTACTGATAACTCTGACGTGTTGCCGCCCGCCTACCATAGCGGTTAAGTTGATGGGCCCACTATTCGTTTAGTATTTTTATACCCGTTACTCGTAGAGTAAAAGGGTATATTGTATTCGTGCAAAAGTATGTAACAGCTAGAAGGAAGCGTTTCCGACCCTATAAAGTATATATATTCTTGATCAGGGTCACTAGCCGAGTCGATATAGCCATGTCCGTCTGTCCGTCCCTATGAACGCTGAGATCTCGGAAACTATAAAAGCTAAAAGATTGGCATTTTGCATGCAGATTCTAGGAGTTCCTACGCAGCGCAAGTTTGTTTCAAAAAGGTGCCACGCCCCCTTTAACGCCCACAATCGCTTATATACGATTTTAAAAATTTAAATATTTCGGAAAAGTAAAAATGCAGTTTTATTGTGTTTATCAATACCTATCGAAAGTAGAAAAATTTCAAATGGACCATTCGTTAAAAAGTTATGGATCAAAGTTTCTATCCATCTCCTCGACTCCTTACCTAGTAACGGTATCTGATAGTCGGGGCACCCGACTATAGCGTTCTCTCTTGTTTTGTTTTAGATTTAACTCGGTAAGAGTTAGAGAAAATCATAAATGTGTCTTTATTAGACAAACTTCGTATTCAACGCATATTACTTTCAAAAAAATTTCTTAAAACAAGAAGGCAAGAACGGGCGAAAGTTATAAATACTCTGTAAATTATATTCTCCAAAATTATTTATATGATGCATTCTTAATACTCATAAAAAATCCCAACATCCTAACTTTAAGAACACAAAGTTATAGCATTAATCGTTCAGTTATATGGCAATAAAATAGAAAATCGAACTATACACCAAGTTGCCATAATCACTGTTATAAATGATCGGAAATGCCATAACTTTGCTGTTTGTAAAGTTAGAAAGTTGGGATGTTCTATGGGTTTTATATTCGGCCAAACAATCCGACCTACCAAATTTCATAAGGACCGGACGACTATATCCTATAGCCGCCATATAACTGATTAATCGGAAATGCCATAACTTTGGTGTTTGTTAAGTTAGAAACTTGGGATTTTCTATGGTTTTATTTTTGGCCAATCAATCAAACCTACCAAATTTCATAAGGATCGGCCGACTATATCCTATAGCTGCCATATAACTGAACGATTGAAAATGCCATAACTTTGCTGTTTTTAAAGATTTTTTATGAGTATTAAGAATGCATTATATGAATAATTTTGGAGAATATAATTTACAGAGTATTCTGCAAGGGTATATCAACTTCGGCTCCGCCCAAAGTTAGCTTTCCTTTCTTGTTAAGTTAGATAATGCTAATTAAAAAAAAAGAATGAAATAACACATTTTTAAGCTCTTTAAGTAACTACAAATTTTTGACGAGTCCCATTACAAAACACCTATTTTTATATAGCTGCGGCTTAATTTTTTTAAAAAGATCATAAATATTAAAAATGTTGTTTTGAACTTTTGCTATATAGTTAGATCGCGGCTTGGCCCATTATACGCGACACCGTCAGTTGACTTTCTCGAGGGTATCGATTTGGGTAAAAAGGCGTTCTTAGCCAGTTTTAATTGCCGGTTTCGATCGAGTTGTTGTTACAAGTCTAATTGCTAGTTAGGTCCCGCAAAGATTAAGTTCCAATTATGAAATCTCATTTAAATCGTTTCAAAGAGATGTTTTATTTAAAGCGAGCTGTTGCTTGTGCGGTCTGTACACGACTACTTGATCCGAGCTTTTATTGTAATGTCTTTCTTTCTTATCTTTTTTCTTAGGCTAAGCTTATACATGTAGGTTACAATTAAGGGTATACTATAGTTATAGTATAATAGTTATAGTTATAGTAAATAGTTATACTTGGCTATGTGACTCCCCCACGACAAGTTTCTGCAATCTTAATTGTAGAAATTTATAAATTGTAATTACATGTATAACTCTTATAAACTTATTTTAATTTTGGAATGTGTATTTTCTTTTGACTTGGTCTTTGTATATTTTTGCGTTTGCGTCTTCATTTGATATTAGGTAGTTTCCATCTTGATGATAGTTTTGAACTAGCTTATACTTAGGGTTTGACCTACCAATTTTATAATTTTTAACATAATCATTTTCAAAATTTTCCCTATTAATATTATTATTTTTTAAATTTAAGAGTTCCTTATTATGTTTGATTTTTTTTGCGATGTTTTGTTGTTGTTCTTAGGATGTTGTTTAGGAAATCGATTGGTTTCATTTTTGTAATAGAGTGAATAGTATTATTATAGCATACCATTGCTTTAAATACTTTGATTTGAATCGTATCATTGTTTTTCTCGTCTGCATTAAAAAGTCGGATGTGCTCATTCAATGTCAAGTGTAGTCTCTCAACATCTGAGTGACCTGTTTTTTTATACGGTGTCGTGAAATGGATTTCTATATTATTATCTATAAGAAACTGTTTTATGCAATTTATATTAAATTCATTATCCGTTATAATAAGCTTGGGCTTGCCTAAGTACTGGATTCTCTCTTGTATAGCATTTAGCAACGAAACCCAAGATCTATCTTTGATATAACAAGCAGTAGCGTATTTTGTGAATTTGTCTATTGTAGTAAGGTACATAATGTTTCGCATGGGGAACCAAATATCTAGATGGATTATCTCGTTGTGTTGCGAAGGGATATCGGTTATGTTTAGCTTATATTTTAAGGGGTTTCGATCATATTTGGCCAAGTTACAAATATTACAATTATTAACATATTTCTGAATTTTTTTCTAAAGATTCGGATAGTAATACATTTTCTTCATTTATTATTTTTTAAATTTGTTCTTTATCTGTTACATCTTTTAGCAAAATAAACGATCTTATTAGTTTTAAGTTTTCGTTGCATGCGAAGTATTGTCTGTAACATTCCTGGAATTTCACGTACAAATTAACGTCTTCGCAATAAATGGCTACTAGGCCGTTATCTGGTAAGATTTCCTGCATTAATTCTAAAATGGTGGTCTTATTTCCTATTGTTTCTATAATGTGTCTTATTTTTCGTTTATACAAGATTTTGGTGGCTCGCGTGGATATCCTACTTAGTCCGTCTGCTAGAGCATTTTCTTTTCCTTTAATGAAGGCTATATCGAAATCATATTCATTTAGTTGAATTTTTCATCTCTGTAGCTTTAAATTGGGTTCTTTTAAGTTGTTTAGCCATACTAGTGGGCGGTGGTCGGTTTTTATTAAAAACTTTCTCCCATATAAATAATAATGAAAATGTTTGACGCCCCAGAAAATAGCTAAAAGTTCCTTTTCAATCGTGCTATAGTTCAGTTCGTGGGTTTTTAAAGTACGGCTAGCATAACATATTACTTTGGTATCCTGCATTAGCACCGCTCCCAAGGCATGGTTGCTAGCGTCTGTAATAAGTGTAAACTGTTTTTTAAAAGTCAGGGTAGGCTACAATTGCTTCGCTTTTAATTAAGACTTTTAGCTTTTCGAAAGATTCTATAAATTCTAAATCATTTGAATTAATTTTAGAATTTTTTTTCAGGTATTTTATTAAATGTTTTGCAATTTTAGAGTAATCTTTTATGTATCGCCTTAAGTAGCTAGTCATGGCCAGAAAACTTTTTATTTGTTTTTGCGTTGTTGGCAATTTAATCCTATCGATTGCCTCAACTTTTTTTTTACTGGGTTTCAGACCGTCTGAATTTAGAACGTGCCCTAAAAACTCTATTTCCCTTTTGGCAAACTCACATTTGTCAATTGGAAGCTTTAAGTTTGCATTCTCCAAGCAATTTAATATTTTGGTAAGGTGCTCAATTTGTTCTTCGATTGTTTTCGAAAATATAAGAATATCGTCCATGTATACAATACAAAAATGGTCTATATAGTTTCTGAGTAAGTGGTTCATAAGCTGTTGAAAGTTGCGGGAGCATTTCGAAGACCGAATGGCATACGCAAGAATTCGTAGTGCCCGCTAGCAGTTGAAAATGCCGTCTTTTGGATATCGCTCTCGCTCATTTCAATTTGATAGAAACCCTTTGCTAAGTCTAAGGAAGAAAATATTTTACATCCATCCAGCTTTTGAAATATCTCATCTATATTAGGAATAGGATAGCGATCTTCAATTGTTTGCGAGTTTAATTTTCTGTAGTCGACAACGAGTCGCCATTTCGGTTGATTTGATTTATCCAATTTCTTTTGGACAACCCATAAGGGACTGTTGTACGGACTATTCGAATGTCTTATTATTCCTTGTTTAAGCATATCGGATATTTGTTTGTTTACTTCGTCATTATGGGCGTAGGGATACCTATAGGTTTTCGAATAGATAGGAATATCATTTTTTCTATGAATTTTGTGTTTAACTTCACTCGTAAAGGTTAAATTATCTCCTTCTTTATAAAATATACCTTCAAACCGTTTTAAAACTGGAGTGAGTAGTTTCTGAGAAATAGGATTTATATATTCTAACGACACGCTATGGCTAGTGTTAAGTTTCGGACTATTTAACGTATTTGGGTGCCTTGTGTAGAAGTTTAGTTTAATATTATTCAAAGTAATTGTCTGTTCTGAATCATTTAATATGTTTCCTTCTATTATGCCATCGAATATATCGTGGAAGTTGTATTCCAAGAACTCACACGAATAATTATTTGTTTCAAATTCTTTAAATGAAGGAAATCTACATAGTTTATGTATCTGAATAATGTTTCCCATTGCTTTTACTTGAACTTCGATGTTTGTTTTCCATTTTGGGTGGCATATGTTTTC